CTATATGAATGAAGAGCTAAAATATAGGCCTAAAACTTTCACGAAGTCTAAAATTTCAAAAAAACCATTTTCAAGTTCAAATTGTAGCAACAACGTAAAAGTCTGAATCTGTCATATAACCCAGACATTGTTCAGTGTTTAGCCCATATCTCAAGTTCTAGAAGTCTAAATGCACCAATTATTTTTTTGTTGAAAATCTGAGATAATTTTCTAGAACTTTCATAAAGACAATCTGTTTAAATTCTAAGATTAGAAAAGAGATGTTGATTCAGTTCAAACTAAAATACTATTCAGTTATTGGATCATAACTGGAGCTGTAGAACTTGGATTTAGATCCGTTTTATATGAATGAAGAGTTAAAATATAGGCCTAAAACTTTCACGGAGTCTAAAATTTCAAAAAGACCATTTTCAAGTTCAAATTGTAGCAACAACGTAAAAATCCGAATCTGTCATATAACCTAGACATTGTTCAGTGTTTAGCCCATATCTCAAGTTCTAGAAGTCCAAATGCACCAATTGTTTTTTTGTTGGAAATCTGAGATAATTTTCTAGAACTTTCATGAAGACAATCTGTTTAAATTCTAATGTTAGCAATGATGTTTTGTTCAGACAAGAAGATAAGGATTGTCACCAAGTCAAGATGTGGTCACCCACTCAATAATTAGTCAACAAATCAATAATTTTAAATTTTGGCATATAAAATGAGGCATTTGTCATGTATTTAGGCATCTTGATTTTCATATCAAGATCATTTCTTGCTCTGTTTCTTTATTTTTTTGTAATGCTTAAGTTTTACTTTCATTAATCTTTTGTTTATACCTTTCATTTCCTTTATTATACTTATATAATGATGTTCTCATCTTGTTATTTATGTTTCTCTCTTTCATTATGTTCAGCTAAGTTTATTATTTCAAGGTGAAAAGGTTTCACTAATGGTGTTAGGATAAGTATAATATAAACTCAATATGGACTTCAATGATCATATCCTAAACAACTTGTTATTAACATATCTTATCATTTTTATTTTATTAATTCTTAATACCTTGCTTGTTAAATAATTAATCTAGATTTGTGTTGTATAACACTTGGTATAACAAATGCTTAGCACTTTCATAGCCAATCATATGGTATAACCCATACTTGTGCTATGAAAAAAACTTGATGTATTGTTAACACAAGTTAGCATCATGAATTCCTGAAAATATTTAAAAGTTTTGTGTTACTTAATAAGATAATTAATATGATAATGTTAATAATTTATTAATGACAAATATTCCGATTGGAACCTCCTTTATGTGTGGTTTTCAATTAAGTAATAAAAAAAGTTTATATTATACTTATTTGAAATACCATTAATGGATGCTCTAAACTTGACAACTATTTTTATCTTTGTTTGATCTTTATATTAATCTTACATATCAAAGTCCTCTTTAACTCATCATCATCATCATCATTATTTATAATTTAAATAGTTAACCTCCTTGTAGTTCGACTCCGGTCTTCTCGGGTTATTTATTACTTAAACACTCCTGTACTTGAAAGAAAACATCAATCTTTTATTCGTGTCAATTTTTTAGTGCCATTGCTAGGGACATAAATTCTTGTATAAATTATAATATTTATTTTATTTTTACTTTTGACTTTTCTTGTATCTAACTTTGTTTATTTTGTTTTGTTTCTTTTTCTTTTGTTTTCTTCTTCCTTAATTATCTTCCTACACATGCATAAGAATTTGGTTACATATGTTAAGTGATAGACTTTATAAGGTATCCTCATCATTTTCAGAAAATATGACTAAAAAGATAACCAGTCACTTCATAACGAGAATAGTCGAGTTAGAACACTTAAAGATCACACGAATCCTACAACAATAAGTGCACCATCATGTATAGTTTTCCCTTCTGATGCATTTCATTTTAATTTTAAGCTTATTAGTACTTAAAAGTCATTTTTATTAAGATTTTATATCATCATTTTGCACTTGAAGTATCAATAACTCATTAACTAAAACATGCTTTATTATAACAAGTTTGATACCATGAAATACTTTTAATTTATGGTAAATGTTCATCCTAAATGCAGGCTTATCACATAAATAAAATGATTGATTAATGAGTTGAAGTATTGAAATTAAAAGGATAAAGAGAGGGCTAAACATAGAAAAGAGATGTTGGTGCAGTCCAAACTAGAATACTATTCGGTAATTGAGTCATATCTAGAGTTGTAGATCTCTGATTTAGGTCTGTTTTATATGGATGAAAAGGTAAGACATAGGCCTAAAACTTTCATGAAAGGCAAGACTCAATTCTGCTATTTGGAAGTCCAAACTTTAGCAACAACACAAAAGTCTGAATTTGTCCTACAGCCCAAATATTGGTTAGTGTTCAACCTATATCTCGAGTTCTAGAAGTTTAAATGACCTTAATTTCTTTCCTTAGAAAGCTGAGATATTTTTCTAGAACTTTCATGTATAAGGTTGGTTCAAATTCTGACGTTATTAATGACGTTTTGTTGAGATAAGAAGAAAAGGATTGTCACCAAGTCAAAATGGGGTCACCCACTCAACAATTAGTCATCAAATCAATAGTTTCCAATTTTGGCCTATAAAAGAAGGTATTTTTCATGCATATAGATATCTTGGTTTCCAAATCAAGATCATGTTCTTGCTTTCTCGTTTTATATTTTTGTAATGCTTAAGTTTTTCTTTCATTAATATCTTATTTATGCCTTTCAATTCCTTTTCTTTACTTAGTTAACTTTTATCTTATTTATGTTCTTATTTTGTTTATTTTTATTTTTCTATTTTATTATGTTTAGTTAAGTTTATCATATCAAGGTGAAAAGGTTACACTAAGGTGTAAGAATAAGTATAGTGTAAACTCAATATAAACTTTAATGTTTGATATTAACATGTTCTGTATTTATTATTTTGTTCACTTTTAATACTTTGCTTATTAAATAGTTAATGAGAGTTTGTTTATTTGGATAGATTAATAGAAGTTGAATGATAAATGCCTTACTTTTTGGAACTTGCAAATTATTTTTTCATTTTAATACTATGATTATCAGGGACTAGTAATAAGATGGTTGGAGAGTGTGATTAGTATTTAAAAATATATTTTTATCAAGATTTTATATCATCGTTTTATAGTTGAAGTATCAATAAGTCTTTAGCTAGAACATATTTTATAATAATATGTCTAATAATAGAAGATACCTTTAATTTATAGTAAATATTTATTTTAAATGCAGAACTATCACATAAATCAAGGGATTAATTGATGAGTTTAACTATTAAAATTGAGAAGACAAAGCAAGGGCTAAGATTAGAAAAGAAATGTTGGTTTAGTTCAAATTAGAACATTATTTGGTTATTGGATCATAACTAGAGCTGTAGAACTTGGATTTAGGTCTGCTCTATATGGATGGAAAGCTAAGACATAGGTTTAAAACTTTCATGAAGAGTTCAAATTCAAAAAGGTTATTTTTAACTTCAAATTGTAGCAACAACAAAGAAGTTTGAATCTGTCCTACAGTCCAGATACTGTTCAGTGTTTAACCTATATCTCAAGTTCTAGAAGTCTAAATGCACCAATTATTTTTTTTATTGGAAATCTAAGATAATTTTCTAGAACTTTCATGAAGATAAATTGTTAAAATTCCAATGTTAACAATGACGTTTTATTTAGACAAGAAGATAAGGATTGTTACCAAATCAAAATATGGCCACCCACTCAACAATTAGTCAATAAATCAATAATTTTAAATTTTGGCTTGTAAAAGAAAGTATTTTTCATGCATTCAAGCATCTTGGTTTTCATATCAAGATCATGTTCTTACTCTCTTTCTTTATATTTTTATAATACTTAAGTATACCTTTCATTTCCTTTACTATAATTATATAATAATGTTCTCATCTTGTTTATTTATATTTTTTTTCTTTTATTGTTTTTAGCTAAGTTTATTATGTCAAGGTGAAAAGATTTCACTATCAGTGTTAGGATAAGTATAATATAAACTCAATATGGACTTCAAAGATTATATCCTAAACAACTTCTTATTAACATGTCTGATCATTTTTATCTTATTAATTCTTAATACCTTGCTTGTTAAAAGGTTAATCTAGATTTGTATTGTATAATACTTGGGACAACAAATGTTTTTCACTTTTATGGCCAATCGTATGGTATAACCTACACCTATGTTATGAAAGAAACTTAATTTGTTGTTAACATAAGTTAGCATCATGAATTCTTGACAATATTTAAAAATTTGTATTACTTAAATAAGATAATTAATATGATCATGTTAATAATTTATAAATGATAAATTTTCCGATTGGAACCTCCTTTGTGTGTGGTTTCCAGTTGAGTCATAAAAAGAGTTTATATAATACTTATTTGAAATACCATTAGGGAATCCTCTAAACTTGACAACTATTTTTATCATTGTTTAATCTTTATATTAATCTTACATCTCAAAGTTCTATTTAACTCATCATCCTCATCACCATTATCATCATCATCATCAATATTATTATTATTATTATTATTATTATTATTTATAATTTATATAGTTCACCTCCATGTGGTTTAACCCCGGTATTGTCGGGTTATTTATTACTTCGATATTTCTGCACTTGGAAGAAGACATCACTTTTGGTCATGTCAGAGCATGTATCTCTAAAAAAATGATTGATCTCTATAAGTGCATCTCATATCCTCTTTAATAATGAATTTTGCCAAGTTAATGAAATGAGTGTTTGCATAAACACGTGACAATCATAATTCTTCATTCTATACAATCTGCAATCCTTCTAATTCACCAACCTTGATATATTCGAGGTATAACCATCAGAAAAACACAGGTTTTTAAGTTATTAGTAGAAAAGTAGCTGTGCATTCTTGTCTAAGATGAAGCTGGCTTTGGAATTTGTGACACTTGATCTAATATAAACCAACTCTATATTTTTATGGTGATAAAATAAAGCTATATCCATTTTAAACTTGATGTTTTTCTTTGTCTTCCCCTTTACTTTTATAACGGTGTTGAAAATATTCTCAAACACATTTCTTTTTATATTCATGACATCAATGTTATGACAGAGGAGATTGGTTTTCCAATAAAAAAGCTCTTAAAAAATACTTTGCATTACCCAATTGTGGGTAAAACCAAAACCATAAAACTTTTGTTAATTGGATTGAAAACCAAACATAATGTCATTATACTCTGACACCACGTCATACAATTTTTTACACCAAAAAAGCAGTAATGCAACATCCTTTCAACTCTACCAATAAAAAAATCTTTTCTATTATTTCTGAACATGTGATCTACTAGCAAAAATCATCAATGACAGTAAAAAAAAGATCTTTATTATTGTTTGTTAGAGTGAATGCCTTGTTATTTTTAATAAATTTTGAACATTCTAGTTTTTCATATGTGTTTCAATCAAAAACCATTCCATAAGCTAGAAAATTATTGATAGTTCACATTAAAGTTGTCTTTATCAGAAAATTCTATTTTCTCGGTGCATCATAAGTGAAAGTCCTCGATGACCATAACTGTTTCAACTCATCAATCAATGGTCAAAGAAAAACATCTATATTCCAACCTAGACTATTAAAACCTGGTATGACCATAAATAAAAATATGAACTCTGGCCTTAACACATTTTTAGTGGCAAGTTGTACACCGTGAGTATAACTAGCTAATATAAATAATAAGCATCAAATGACCCGAATGGATTGAATCCGTTAGTACATAACCCAAGACGCACATTCCTTGATTCTGCTGAAAACTAAGAATGTACACTATTAAAGTGTTTCCATGCATTACCATTAAAAGGGTGCACAATCACTCCATCCACCACATCATGTGATTGATGTCATATGATATGCTCATCAGTCTTTGGTGACATGAATAACCTATGTAGTCTAGGTGTGATTAAGAGGTATCTAAGTTTTTTGTATGCAAAAAAAGTCCCTCCCTGCCAATCATGGGTCTATAATGAGAATGCTTATATGTTTTATACTTGATCAACTTTATATTTTCAAGGTAGTACAACATGTAGAAGTTTGGATACATATGAATTTTTTAGTATCCTAGACCAAGAGGTTTCATTATAGATTTAGTAATATAGAAGATCTATTTTAGTATATTCCTTTAATGTAAAATGTTTCTTACTCATTCGACAATTCTTTCATAACTAGTCTTGCTCAACCCATGATCTGACTTGATGGTAAACACATGTGCAATGACCACTAATTTACTGGGATTTATGGAACCATCCTATAATAGTTCTGTAGAATCTTTTAAAAGATTAAAAAATTTAGTTGTGTCTGCATTGGGTTCCATGATTGGACATTGACCAACATGACCCTAAATCATTCTTATCGTCATTAGAAGGGTGCACCATTACTCCATCCATCGTATCATGTGATTGATGTTATGTTATGCGCTCAGCAGTTTTTAGTGCCATGAATAACCTCTATAGTCTAAGTGAGTTTAGGAGATATCTAAGTTTTTTGTATACAACAAAAGTCCTTCCCTTCCAATCATGGGTTTATAATGAAAATGCCTATATATTTTATACTTGGTCAACTTTGTATTTTTAAGGTATTATAACATGTAGAAGTTTAGACACATGTCATTTTTTTATTATGTTAGACCGAGATGTTTCATCATGAACTTAGCAACATAGAAGTTCTTTTTCAGTATATTCTCTTCCTGTAAAATGCTTCTCATCCATTCGACAATTCTTTCATAACCAGCCTTACTTAACTTATTATCTGATTTGATAGTGAACACTTGTGCAACGACCAATAATTTACTCTGATTTATGAAATCATCTTATAATGGTTTCTTAGAATCTTTTAAAAGATTAAAAAACTTGGTTGTGTCTATATTGGATTCTATGATTGGACATTGACTGACATGACCCTAAATCATTTTCATCACATCTATAACCATATTCCTAAAAGATTACTATTGTCATCTACAACTCCATGCATGTTATTAGAACTAGAAGTTAACCTAACCGTTCTTTCTACCATATTATCGTGAGGAACATATGGTTTTTCATGTGCATACCAATACAAGTATTTCTCAATAAACTTTTTTCATAGAAGATGTATCATTACAACATTTGGATTGATAAACTTTTATTTTTACATCTCTTGGATAAACATCTAATACTCATTCCACTAATATTTTTCAAATTAGATAGTGTATAATTAATAAAACCATGAATCTCATTACCATAATTCATCCTTCATAACCCTTAGGGTGAATCTCTATACATTTATGAACTAAATATATTTGCAAAAATATTGATTTAGCTCAAGTTTATTCAATATATTTTAATAATACTCTTAATTCATTATCAATTATCTACATAAATTTAAATTTCTATAAATTTACTAAAGATTTCAACTTGGAAATAAAATTGACAAAATACAAAGTGGACTCATTAAATAAGCCATTATTTATTTTATCACAAAACACTTAAGTCAAAAATTCGACATCAGTTTCAACAGTTTACAAACAAATACAATTTTATAAAACTTAAAATAAACTCTAACATGTACAAATCATAAATTCATATAATAAACTTATATGACAAAGAATTATAAAACAAGTAAACACCTAAACAAAATATATATACTACAAAAATATGCAAAAAATTAACTTTTAAAATTGTGTTAAAAAAGGATAGATTTTGTTACCTAAAGTGTAGAATCCTCAATAAGATTTAAATGAGAACACGAATACTGACAAACTAAGTATTGTGGTGGCCAAATTGGTTGTGGAAAGTTGAATTATGCTGAGATTTAGGGGAGGGTGGCTAGTTGATACAGAAAAAATGCATAAGAAAGAAGGAGAAATGAGGGAGGGGGAGGGGAGGGTTAATCACTAGGTTATAAATTAAATATTATTGATGACATTACTGATAAAATTATTTCTTCAGTAATTTTGTCAGTCATTCTGTCATTAAATATGTCACATTATTGTATTATTTGCTTTTTATTAATCCCACTGTAATATTCTCTGTAATTTTCTTAGTATATATGGAAGAAATTTTTCAGTTGGCATATTTACAAACATACTTTACCATTACATTAATTCCATTGGTAATGTTGCCTATAAAAAGTTACCTGTCATTGTATTAGTTGACTTATTTTTTTATTTTTTATTTTTCCACTACAATTCTCTCAGTGTATATATCAAGAGAATTTTTTTGCCGATGTTTATTAATAGGTATATAGATAAAAAATCTTGTTGGTAAAGTTGTCATAATATATATATATAAAAAAAAAATTGTAGTGTTTTTGCCTGTATTTACTAATGTTCTGAAACTAGAGATAAGAAAGTGCAAGTGAACGCAGCTAACAGCTGGTGGTTTAATTTTAGAAGGTAGATACAGGATTCCAGGAAACTTTATTCCTTGTTTATCTGCTGAGAAAGGAAAAGTATATTATTCCAAGCAAAAGCAAAGCCCTGCAGTAAACAGACCGACAAGCCCCGCTTCAGACTCAGGTTGATTCCTTCCCCTTCAATGAGGCAAGCCCATGGAAAGGACTAGTTAGGGTAAGGAATTGAAGGCATTTCTTCAAAATCAAGACAACGCCATTTCATAATGAAAGTAAAGAAAGACATCAATCTGGCAAGACCAACAGTTGTTTATTAAATTTTTTGGATAGGCAATGATAAACTCCTTGCACATATAACATAACTGATCTCTTCTTAGCTTCACAAGGGAGACAGATTTTCTCTTCCTGGTTTTGAGCCTACCAAGAGGCCATGGCTCCCGGAGTAAGCAAACCCACTGCCTTCATGCTCTTAATCCTTAATATGGGGCTGTATTTTTTCATAATAATAATCAGTTCATGGATTATAAATCATGGAATTGTAAGATCTCATGAATCAGGTGAATCAGATTCCTTGCAGGCATATATATATTCACTCAAGGATTGAATTTTTCAAGCAATTACTGACTTATGCATGCATGCTCTACCATGTGTGAATGTATATGCAGCGGCTATTTTGACAATTCCAGCTCGCATATTTCCAATATACTTCCCAATGGGAAATTTGGCAACAGGTTTCTTCGTCATTCTCTCCCTTCTTGCTGGCGTTGTGGGCTTCACCTCCTCTATTACTGGACTGTATAATCTTTTTCTCTGGAATGCTCCAAGCATACACGCAACATATGCGTCTTCTCTCGCATCCTTGTCACTCACCCTTCTAGCCATGGGGTTGGTGCTTACGCGCTCTCTCTCTCTCTGTCCTTACTTAGAATCTTCCTTCTCTGTTTTTTTTTTTTTTTTACTTTCAAACTCATATCCTATTTCAATTATTTCATGTTGGTGTATGCAAACTTACCAGGTCTTTTCTCAATGTGCATTGCAGATTCGCATGCAAAGAGATCAGCATAGGCTGGACAGATTCAATCTTGGTATGTTCACTATTCTCTTTCCTTCTCATGTGCATGAGTGCATTAAGCTATGGGGTATCTGTCAATCCCTTAGAGCCTGCATAACTAGTCCTCCATAACTTGGATTGGCTGCGCTAGATCACACCAATCCTTTGATCGACGAGAGCCCATCATCCCTGATGGTTCACAGAAACTATTTATACAAACTTTTCAAAAGTGGAAATTGAAATCTAAACCTACTCATTTATCTTATTTCAAATCCCTTATCATTTATGCTAGTTTACTTTCATTCTTCTATGATCTAAGAAAGCCAAAGAAAAAACAGTCCATTAATTTTTCACATCAAGTGATTAACAAGTTTCGAGGGGAAGTATTTCTAACAGAGCATGGTACTGGATTTAATGTTGATGAACAGCGTACCCTAGAAGTAGTGACAATAATTGTGAGTGGAACTCAATTATTGTGCACTGTTGCTATCCGTGTTTGAGTTGTAGATATGGTCGCACGACAGAGGAGCCTGGAAGCAAGAGTTTGATTAAGCCTTCAATTGGATGCCTGACAACTTAGTTCTGTAAACACATACATATGTTGTAATAAAATCAATTTGTATTGATCATTTAGTAAGGTTACGTTTGTCTAAGCGTTTCAAATTGTATTTAGCTTGAAAAACATTAAGGA